TTCCAGCAAGCGGGACTGGCCTAGGGGATTTTATAGGGGTTTTAATTACTTTTAAATTTGACATTCTCAAATATTTCATTTTAATCAAATTTTAACTAGGTGTAATATGTTAGCTTTTTATCATTTGTCAGCCGCCCTGAGTCCGAAAGGAGAAGGGCGGGATATAAATACAATTAATAAATAAATAATAAAATAAATACTGGAGATCTTCTCATGGACAGCTCTGAAGATGGTACAATGGCATGACAAAACTAATCCATTTGTGCAAGCTACAGGTAAAGTTAAAAAGAGAAAATAGCAAGTAACAAACAATGTCTATAGACAGGCATCAAGAACAGGAAGTTGTCTGAAGTGGGAGTAGAGATAGATAGTCCCGGATCAATCAAACTCCACACAATGAGAATTAACACAGTTTTGGCTAATATAAGAAAAGGCATAGTTAACATCCCACCAATATCCATGATGCAACTCCGTTAAAAAAAATCCAAGCAGCATCCTGGCATTTTACATTCAACTAATCCATTTGTAAGAAGAAAGGGAACAACAAGGTTTTTATCCACGTTCATCTTAGGACAACCATCTGGACTACTGGGCAGATAGAACCACTATAAACACAACAGGCAATTAAGATCAACCCTGAAATGTATTTTTAAGAATGGTGCACATCTGTTTTTTCTTATGCAAAAATAATCTGGGCTGGAACTGAAAACAAGGACCTGAGCAACTGTTCAACCATATTTCTCTTTTAAGGATCTGTGAACAGAATCTTGTGTTAGCTGAAGCTCAGGAACTGGGAAGCAAACAAGAGTTTCCACAGGGCAAACACATTCTCCATAGCTATTCAGTGTTCCATTTTTGCAACGAGGCAAGTTACACAATAAAATCACTGCTGAACACAGACCACAGTACAACAAAACTGAGGTGCAAAGCGAATTCTGCACTGGCACAGAGGCTGTGTGCTATACATGGGCATAACAAATTGCAGCCATAGTCTAATTTAAGATATACAAGTTTAGCATAACTTACCCTCTTCTTTGAGATATTTAACCTTCTTTTCCAATAAATAACTTGTACCATCTTGTATTCCATACACATTAAAAGTATATCTTACTCCATGGCTGAAGGCATCTAAAATATATTTCAAGAAATATATCAACAAAAGAGTTAGGAATATAACATGTATGATTACAAGTGGAAGCTAGTGATGATGTTAGGGAAACCTGAAAAATATTGATTTTATTGATTAAAATATCAAGAGCTTCTGATTTATTTTTTCTTTTCAAGTGTCATGGGCTTTACCTCAAATATAGTTGTTATGAAATGAAAAACTAGCACAAAATGGGTGCCAGGTGTGGTTAATTACAAAAGCTGGAGAGTGATAGGGAGTGAATTCACATTGAAAAAGGAAAACACAGTACTTCTATTGATCTTGTGGGGTCTCCATTTAAATTCTTGTGTAGAAGAACCTTTATGCCCACAATGTAGCCCTGACAGAATAGTCTTATTTTCCACTAAGGATCTTTTTGACAACAACCCTTCCTGAGGAAATGAACATGGTAGACTGGGCCACTTTCCTGTCATCCAGTTTTGAAAGGGCACCTTCTCCCCTTCTTCTCATTTGAGAAACTAATTCATGGACTTGTGTGTCAGAATGGAGGAAGTAGCAATATCCTTGCACATTTCATGATTAAGTTTTTAACTCTGTGCATTTTTATTTTTTAGTTATTTAAAAATTTTGTACTGCACCTTCTTATGCTGGTCTATGACCGTAATAAAGATTTGATTGATTGATAAATGTATCCTTGCAAATATTACATTGGTTTTATGAAATGGGCCAGTCCTTGCTAATTCTCAGGTAGGAAAACCTCACAGTAACTAAGAAGTTGTAAAAATATTCCAGAAGAAAACAAGGGCGAATCATTTCTATATTGCTGGCAAGGAAGCTATAGATTTGTCCATAAAATCACTCAATCTTGACTGAAAGAAGAATTGTTGTTACAGTAGCTTTAACAACCAGACAACAATGATCTCTGGAAATATTCACTAACAAACTTAATTTTTTCTTACCAGATGTAATGAGATCACTGGATTTGTTTTGCTCATACTTCTTCCATTGAAAATCACACGCATGACCTGTGGGGTGGTTGCACCAATCAACAACATATTGACTGAACTTGCTTTGAGGTTTCCAAGAAATATAAATTCCATGTTCTGTATTGTTATCTGTGGTCTCCTTACTATAATGCACTGTACCTTAAAAAATGCAACAATTTTTAGGCATCAGCACCAAAATCTTTAAATGCCATTCATAATATTTATCCTTCTTTCACACAGCTTTCTGGAGAGACCTATACAAAAATGCAAATGTTCTGTTGATCCTCCAACAATTTTTGTCAACCTCTGGTGAACATGCATTCTCATTCACTATGAATTCCAGGCAATGTTATGGGGACTTTCAGAAAAAAAATGTTTGCCTGGCATATTTGAACTGTAATTAAATCTAAGCCCTAGATATACATGCACTAAATAAAACAGTAGAATTAGTTGTTTTGTTTTCTGCCAGCAGAGAAAAGACTTACATTTCACCATTCCCTGTTTGTTTTAAAGAATTCAGTCAAACAAACCACACTGTAATTCTCAGTGCGTTTTCATTCAGTGGAATCTGAGTGAAAAGCCCATCTCCATTCATGTGAAAGTATATCCCATGAAATTAAATGGGATTTATTTTTAAGAAGAGATAATTAAAATTACATTGTCATCTTTGTAGCACAGACCCTGGAACTTCTCTGGGTTTGTGGAAAATGAAATGAACAATGCAGAATTTTAAAAGAAAACTTATGTGTATAAATGTTTTAAATGCATAATATAACCAGTGAGTAAATTGCTAAACATTTTACATTGCAATGCGTAAAAAAAAAAAAAGTCATGTCCAGGGAGCAGCAGAGTATAAACTGACATATAAAGGCTGAAATCCCAAACATTCAGTCAAACCAAAGTTTATTAAGACAGCCAGTTTGGTCTAGTGGTTATGGCACCATTCTAGAAAGTGGGAGGCGGTGTGTTCAAGTCTAGCCATGAAAGCCAGCAAGTGACCCTGGGCTAGTCACACTCTCTCAGCCCAATTCACCTCACAGGATTGTTGTTGTGAGGAAAACAGGAGGAGGAAGGCATATTGGATATATTCTCTGGCTTGATTTATTTGTAAAAATAATAAAAGGCAGGATACAAATTAAATAAATAAATAAACAAACAAACAATACAATACAATAGGACATCTTACTATGTAATCATGGAAATAAAAAAAAAATCTAGGGTTGTGGTTTCACATTGCTTTCTGGTTCAGGAAAGGAAGATTCATTAGAATAACATGTCTAAATGAACACACCATTTTTATTAGTTGCTGGGATGATAATCATTGAGGGAAAAGATGCAGATACACCGTTTTGTGCCCAGACAAGGATTTTGTAAGAATGGTTGCCAAGAATCATTGAGAATTTCTGTGATGCAGAAACTGAGTAATTGTGACGCTGCATAGAAGGTTCCTCTAAGTTTTCCAAGGATAGGTGATATTTTTGGATCTTTCCATTAGCACGAAATTCTGAGGATTCCTATGGGCAGGAAAGCAAAATTATCTTTAAAAAACATTTCTCATCAATGCACTTTTCTAGAATAGTTTCAGATTGTTTTTCATTACAGATGTTATCAGTTTTCTCACTGTGAGAAAGAACATACAAGATGACACTACATCTCTTCTACAATGGCTTATAGAAAATAGATATCCTTATCTTCAAGACTTGGGTCCACAAAGAGAACAGAATTTCATGCTATTTTTTCATACACCCCAAACTCACCCAGATTTATTTACTGTATTTATTGTGTGTGGATAATAGAGTAAACTTTGTGGTACATCAAGCAAGTGGCTAAACTATACATGATTCTGTTGGACACTTTCATGACAGGATATGGACACTTCTAATAGAAAAGACTTAACACCCTCAGTTGTCCTTAATGGTGAGGCATCAATTGTTAAAAATGAAAATGCTGCACTTCCATTTTGCCTTATCACACAGTAATTTACTGTAGAAAAAAACCCACAAATATCACAACCAAAGAAATATCAGTCAATAGTGAACAAAGTTTGTTGTATAATATCCCATATAATTCTATTCTATGAATATTATTGCTGTGAAAAGTAGAATATTTTCTTTATCATTCAAAATTTCATCTTCCTGAATGTACTTTTCTATGACCACTAGGCCTTTATCATTACTAGGGAATGTTACCTGTAACCAAGGCTGATACCATTCTTTGTCTTTCTAAAAAGCATTATATCAGGGATCTTCAAACTTGGCCCTTTTATGACTTGTAGACTTCAATTCCCAGAATTCCTCAGCCAGGCACGCATTATATGGAAGCATGAATGACCAAATCCAAGATCAATGAAGAAAGTCAATATTTATGGACCATCTGTTGTCCATTTTTAGTCTATTGAATTATTGAATGCTTGTTTCTTAATATACTTGTTATCCTTCTGCACTTAGCACAGTGTTGCTCACCTCAAACAGAAATAGTGTGATGGCTATTTATATATATATATATATACACATGCTTCTATATGTCCTATCAGTTTTATATGAATGGACAGACTTACCCTCCAGAATACAGTTACATTATGTTGCTCCAAGTCTGGGTTAATATATCTCCAGACATCAAGCAATCCTGATGGAGCTGAAAATCAAAGCACGCAACACATGATGTAAGCAGGCTTAATGATCAAATAGAAAGAGTATAATTATATAAATACACTGTTATATTAATATAATATATTCTACACTTTCACAAGTCACAGACAGACACCTTAAGATGGACACTTGCATTCTTTGACAGTGCTTACAAAATTTTCATCCTGATAACCATTTCTTTCTTACTTTAATTATCTTTGTAAAAGAGGTGATGGCTATTCTTGAAATAAGAAAAGAGGATATAAATTCACAATACAGTATTAATACCAGAAATATCAAACTAAGTGCAGATAAGAACAGAATCTCTCATTTGTGAGTAGAAAAGTGACTTTTATTTATATTGTAGGACCAGCTATCTATTCACAAAGAGAAAAAAAGTTCAAATTCTCAAACCATAAATTAAAGAGAACCATCCCCAAAAAATTAGGATTAACCATAAAAATGTTTATATTAAAAGAACATTTTGAAAACTGAATAGCAATAACTGCCGGGCAAAATGTACAGCCTTTCTGGAGATTTATTTTTCCCTCCATTCAGTTGTGTCTGATTCTTGGCTCTAAAAGTCCATGCAGTTTTCTTGGCAAGGATTTTAAGAAGTGGTTTGCCATTGCCTCTATCCTAGGGCTGAGAGTGAGTGACTGGCCCAAGGTCACCCAGCTGGCTTTGTGCCTAAAGCAGAACTTTAGGTGGAGGAGCCAGATTAACTTAGTGCTGTATTACTAACTTAACAACTGCAATGATTCACTTAATAACTGTGGCAGAAAAGGTTGGAAAATGGGGCAAAACACACTTAACAAATGTTTCACTTAACAACAGAAATGTTGGGCTCAATTGTGGTCTGTATTGGCCTGCACTCTTTCATTCTCTATCTGTGCTAGCTGGAGATAATGGAAGTTGTAGTCCAAGTACTTGGAGGATACCAGATAGGGAAGATGACAAAACTCTAGGCTCCATTTCCCTTAAAGTTTTCCTCCACAACAGAATGCTCACCAGCTTCAGGAGTCTCAGAAATTATATTCTCCGTCCAGTTACTCCATTTCCAGGACGGAGCAACATCTGCAGCACAGCGTACTTTTAATGCATACTTTGTGGCAGGCTGCAGTCCACC